CAGGGAAGAGGAATGGACAGGGTGACCTATGAACTCTTCTGTCTGTCTGTCTGGGTCAGGCTGGATGCTGGACAGATTCTGCTCTCTCTCCCCTTATGGGCTCTTGTGGGACCAGATTTATATCTGCGGGTCACTAGTGGCCCTGACCCTAAGGGGAAGAGGGGTAAGGAGCAGCGAGGGGTCACCACGAGAATATTTTAAAGTGACCCTAAACTTTCTGGTCCAGGCTAGAGATGCCCGGGTCAGAGTGCAGGGAAGGTCTNAGCAGCGAGGGGTCACCACGAGAATATTTTAAAGTGACCCTAAACTTTCTGGTCCAGGCTAGAGATGCCCGGGTCAGAGTGCAGGGAAGGTCTCAGGACCGTGGGGCTCATGAGCAAGCACCAGGAGTGTGCAGGGTGGAGGGACCCCCGGGGCCTGCATAGAGCTCCATGGAGAGTCCTGATCCAGCCTGGGCCCNGGCCTGCATAGAGCTCCATGCAGAGTCCTGAGCCAGCCTGGGCCCAGGGAGCCCTGCAGGAGGAAGTCACAGGGGAGGAGATGGGGCTAGAGGAAGGGTCAGGGAAGGACAGGGCATGAGGACAAGGGGAGCTCCTGGGTCTCTGCAGGAAAAACATCCTCCCTCAAGGAAACGCAGAATCTATGGCATGAAAACTCTAGTGATTACCAGTCTGGGGAGATGCCATTAACTGTACAGTGAGAGAACCAAAGACAGACAGACAGACTTCTCCAGTCAGCAAAAATCCTACCAGTTAGAGAGGGTGCAGGAGAGTTGGACAAGTGGGGGCGACCCTTTAAGGAAAATACTCAAAACCCTGTAGCACAAATGGATCAGCACAGAAATGTCCACAGATTGACCGAATAAGTAGTTACAGAGCTCAGATGATCCTTTGTGGGGACAAACAGACAAATAGACAAAGACAGACCCTGTCAGAATACCAGGTAGAGGCAGAGCCTAAAGGGTGACAGTCAGGTGTGTGAGACTGAAGGGGGTCCAAAAGGAGAGGGGATGGCAGGTGTTTCTCAGGAAAATACGGAGGTGCTTTTGGAACACCCCAAATTGCACTTCATGGCATGGCTTCTTAGACCCAGAGTGGTCCCTGACCTAGGGATCCTGACAGGATCAGGACGCTGCACCCACATTGAGACTGAGGTCAGGGGCTTTCAGGGCGGATACTGAGCCTCTGACCTCCTTTCCCTCCCGCACCCCACAGGTCAGCCCAAGTCCGCACCCTCAGTCACCCTGTTCCCGCCATCCAGTGAGGAGCTTGACAAGAACAAGGCCACACTGGTGTGTCTGGTCAGTGACTTCTACCCCGGCAGCGTGACGGTGGCCTGGAAGGCAAATGGCAAGCCTGTCACCCAGGGCGTGGAGACCACCAAGGCCTCGAAACAGAGCAACAACAAGTACGCGGCCAGCAGCTACCTGAGCCTGCGCTCGAAAGCAGAGTGGAGCTCTGTCAGCAGCTTCAGCTGCCAGGTCACGCACGACGGCAACACTGTGGAGAAGACAGTGGTCCCCTCAGAGTGTTCGTAGGACCCTGAGTCCCCCACGTCTGGGGGCTCCCCTCAGCCGGACACTCCATTCCCCGGCTCTCCCTCTGCCCTGAGACCCCTGCCTGGTCTGCTCAGACTGGGCAGGTCTTGCTCCCTCCCCGTTTCTACTTCTCCTAAATAAATTCTAATCATTTATCATCTGACATTTCTCATGTGTGTGCTGTGTTCTGGAAGGGTCTCTAGGGTAAAGGTCAGTAACGAAGGGCAGGAGAGCAGTGACATGGGATGGATCTACCTCTGGTCCCCTCAGCCTGAATCAGGGCCAATGCCAGTGGGAGCCGAGACCCAGAGCAGGAACCTCTGGTGGGCTGACCCTTGGGACACATTTCATTTCAGCTGGGAAGGGACAAGGGCTGACTAAGTGGCATCCGGAGCCCGGCGGCAAATGAGGGAACAATGAANGAGGAGCTTGACAAGAACAAGGCCACACTGGTGTGTCTGGTCAGTGACTTCTACCCCGGCAGCGTGACGGTGGCCTGGAAGGCAAATGGCAAGCCTGTCACCCAGGGCGTGGAGACCACCAAGGCCTCGAAACAGAGCAACAACAAGTACGCGGCCAGCAGCTACCTGAGCCTGCGCTCGAAAGCAGAGTGGAGCTCTGTCAGCAGCTTCAGCTGCCAGGTCACGCACGACGGCAACACTGTGGAGAAGACAGTGGTCCCCTCAGAGTGTTCGTAGGACCCTGAGTCCCCCACGTCTGGGGGCTCCCCTCAGCCGGACACTCCATTCCCCGGCTCTCCCTCTGCCCTGAGACCCCTGCCTGGTCTGCTCAGACTGGGCAGGTCTTGCTCCCTCCCCGTTTCTACTTCTCCTAAATAAATTCTAATCATTTATCATCTGACATTTCTCATGTGTGTGCTGTGTTCTGGAAGGGTCTCTAGGGTAAAGGTCAGTAACGAAGGGCAGGAGAGCAGTGACATGGGATGGATCTACCTCTGGTCCCCTCAGCCTGAATCAGGGCCAATGCCAGTGGGAGCCGAGACCCAGAGCAGGAACCTCTGGTGGGCTGACCCTTGGGACACATTTCATTTCAGCTGGGAAGGGACAAGGGCTGACTAAGTGGGATCCAGAGACCTGAGGGGAAATCAGGGAACAATGAAGAGCCTCCCAGGGGGTACCAGGAGGTTTCCAGTGGCTACACATGGAAATAATGGGCCAGGAAAACACTGAGCCAAGGCCATGGTCTTGGGGAACAGACATTGAACTTCCCTGTTTCATCAAGGAACCCAATGGGGCCCCATTACCAGGTGAAGGTCTTGTGGTTGGCCCTCACCTCAGAGACCTAGAATGTTCTTAACAGTGCATCCCATACTACATTTTTCAAACTCTGACAATGCATGTTTGCTAAGTGAAGAACCTGACAAGTCTTTAAGCAGAGAAAATGTTTATTATCACATAGCCTAACAATCCCCTGTCATGTTCACGCCCCTGAGCAACTCAGGGATCCTGGAGCACTTTATCACATGGCTAATCGTGCCAGCCACATGGGGTGAGGCTGAGCCACAAAGAAGCTCTGTTTATGTTGTGATAGCCCTGGGTCAGGGTCAGACTCAAGGTGACAGTAGCAGGGGCCTGGGGCTTTCATCGTGAAGAGTCTTAACACATGAAATTGGAAAGGGTGAGAGATTTTATGGTTGGTTTATGGATTGAGCAGGTGATGTCAGGCCCCAGGGTGTGAAGGACAGGGGAGTGACCTGACGAATTAGAGAGAGCACTCCTCTGGGCACAGAATGGGCATCCAGTGATGGCTCAGGGAGGGCATATCAACTGGAATTGTGGAGTTAAGTAAGGGCAGGTCAGGCTAGCTCAGAGCAGGATGAGTGTGGCCTGTGGGTTCCAGCAAGGTCATGCTTCCCTGGTGACACAGCACCCCAAGACCACTCTACCCATGGGTGGGATGGCAGTGGGTATTCTTATGGTTACCTGAAAGTCTGGTTGGCAATCCGTACACGACCACCCTGTAATCAGCCAGTATAGGCCCAAACTAGGCAGTCACTGGGGAAGATAAGCCTGAGCCCCTGACCGGATCCTTTCCAACAGGAAGCTGACAGTGACTCCATACACGGGAAACCTGCCTCTCCCTGGAAGGGGGGAGTGGGGAGGAAATACATGGCGCCCTCCCCTCCTGGTCTTACCAAGGAGTTAGGGTTGTTTGGACATAAGAGAGGTGTGCCTTCCATTTCACAGAACCTCAGTGACAGTGACACAAATGCCCTCCAAACTCATCCCAAATCCCAGGACACAGTAGTAGAAACAGCACATCAGGCAGCAAATTCCTTGTTTCACAGTCTGTGTCTTCTACCTTGTAATCTGCTGGGGTGGGTGAGCAGTGAGCATGCCCCTTGCAGACCTCAAACAGCCAGAGGCCATGCCCAGGCTTCCCCCATCACAGCTGCAGGTGGGGGCTCAGGGGAGGGGCAGGGCCTCCCAGAGACAGGTTTTTGTATGAGCCTGTATCACAGTGTTGGGTGTTCGGCGGCGGGACCCAGCTGACCGTCCTAGGTGAGTCTCTCCTTCCCCCTCCTTCCCTGCTCTTCCAGGCATCCTGGTCATTTTCTGCTAATTTGCTCTTTTTCTGGGTCTTGTCTCAGCTGTGGCTAAGCTTCCACCCAGGATCCTAGCTCTTGGGAACCTGAGCTCTTCCCATGTCTGATCTTACTGTCCTTTTGCTTCTGCTGGTCACCATAAGCCCTTTACCTCTGACCCCAGGGAAGGAGGAATGGACAGGGTGACCTATGAACTCCTCTGTCTGTCTGCCTGGGTCAGGCTGGATGCTGGACAGATTCTGTTCTGTCTTCCCTTATGGGCTTTTGTGGGACCAGATTTCTTTCTAGGGGTCACTAGTTACCCCCTTTTTTAAGGGGAAGAAACAATAAGGGTGCACTGAGAGGGGAACCACCTGAATATTTTGGAAGGACCCAGAGCTTTGGGCCAAGGCTAGAGATGCGTGTGTCAGAATTCAGGGAAGCTCCTGGGGAACTTGGAGGTCATGAACAGGGACAGGAATGTTGCAGGAGTGGAGGGACCCCCGGGGCCTGCATAGAGCTCCATGCAGAGTCCTGAGCCAGCCTGGGACCCAAGGAATGTTGCAGGAGGAAGGACACAGGGAGGGGAGGAGATGGCGCTAGAGGAAGGGTCAGGGAAGGACAGGGCATGAGGACAAGGGGAGCTCCTGGGTCTCTGAAGGAAGAACATCCTCCCCCAAGGAAACACAGAATCTATGGCATGAAAGCTCTAATGATGACCAATTTGGGGAGATGTCATTAACTGTAGAATGAGAGACCCAAGGACAGACATATAGACTTCTCCCATCAGCAAAAATCCTAACCAGTTAGAGAGGGTGCAGGAGAGTTAGATATGTGCGGGCGACAGTTTAAGGAAAATACTCTAAACCCTGTAGCACCAATGGATCAGGTCAGAAATGTCCACAGATTGACCCAGTAAGTTGTTAGAGAGGTCAGATGATCCTTTGTGGGGACAAACAGACAAATAGACAAAGACAAACCCTGTCAGAATACCAGCTAGAGGCAGAGCCACGAGAGTGACAGTCAAGTGTGTGACTGAAGGGGGTCCAAAAGGAGAGGGGATGGCAGGTGTTTCTCAGGAAAATAGAGAGGTGCTTTTGGAACACCCCAAATTGCACTTCATGGCATGGCTTTTAGACCCAGAGTGGTCCCTGACCTAGGGATCCTGACAGGATCAGGACGCTGCACCCACATTGAGACTGAGGTCAGGGGCTTTCAGGGCGGATACTGAGCCTCTGACCTCCTTTCCCTCCCGCACCCCACAGGTCAGCCCAAGTCCGCACCCTCAGTCACTCTGTTCCCGCCATCCAGAGAGGAGCTTGACAAGAACAAGGCCACACTGGTGTGTCTGGTCAGTGACTTCTACCCCGGCAGCGTGACGGTGGCCTGGAAGGCAAATGGCAAGCCTGTCACCCAGGGCGTGGAGACCACCAAGGCCTCGAAACAGAGCAACAACAAGTACGCGGCCAGCAGCTACCTGAGCCTGCGCTCGAAAGCAGAGTGGAGCTCTGTCAGCAGCTTCAGCTGCCAGGTCACGCACGACGGCAACACTGTGGAGAAGACAGTGGTCCCCTCAGAGTGTTCGTAGGACCCTGAGTCCCCCACGTCTGGGGGCTCCCCTCAGCCGGACACTCCATTCCCCGGCTCTCCCTCTGCCCTGAGACCCCTGCCTGGTCTGCTCAGACTGGGCAGGTCTTGCTCCCTCCCCGTTTCTACTTCTCCTAAATAAATTCTAATCATTTATCATCTGACATTTCTCATGTGTGTGCTGTGTTCTGGAAGGGTCTCTAGGGTAAAGGTCAGTAACAAAGGACAGGAGAGCAGTGACATGGGATGGATCTACCTCTGGTCCCCTCAGCCTGATTCAGGGTCAATGTCTGTGGGAGCCTTGACTCAGAGCAAGAACCTTTGCTGGGGTGACTCATGGGACACAGTTTCAGCCGGGAAGGGACAAGGGCTGAGTAAGAGACATCCAAGCCCTTCGGGGAAATCGGGGAAAAATGGAGAGGGTGTCAGGGGGGCACCAGTGGCTACACATGAAAATATTGGGAAAGAAAACACTGAGCCAAGGCCAAGGTCTTTGAGAAGGACATTGAACTTCCCTGTTCCATTAAGGAACCCAACGGGGAGTCCCATAACCAGGTGAGGGGTGTGTGGTTGTCCCATCACCTTGGAGCCCTGAAAAGCTTTAAACAATGCATCCCATAGTACATTTATCAAACTTTGACAATGCAGGTCACCTAAGTCATGACATTTAGAAGACTGGGAACAGAGAAACTGTTTAATATCTTACAGCCTAAAAATTGTTCATATCCCTAGGCAATTCAGGGAGCCTGGACCACTCTTTGAGACATGGCTAATGGTGTTGGGAACATGGGGTGAGGCTGAGGCACAAAGACACTCACTTTCTGTTCTCATAGGCCCGGGCAAGGTCAGGGTCCTAGTGACCCTAGCGTGCCCGGAGACTTTCATCCTGAAGAGTCTCAACACCTGAAGTCAGGTCAGGGTGAGACATTTTATGGTTGATTTATGGATGGAGCAGGTGATGTCAGCCCCCAGGATGTGAAGGCCTATGGAGGGAACTTGATGACTTGGAGAGGACCGCGACCTGGACACACAATAGGCATCCAGTGATGCCTCAGGGAGGGCATATCAACTGGATTTCAGGAGTAAAGTAAGGGCAGGTCAGACTAGCTCAGAGCAGGGTGAGTGTGGCCTGTGGGTTATAGCAAGGTCATGCTTCCCTGGTGACACAGCACACACAGACCACGCTACCCATGGCAGGGATGGAAGATTATATTCCCAAGGTCATCCTAAAGTAAATGCTGGCAGTTCATAAACGNCAGGGAGGGCATATCAACTGGATTTCAGGAGTAAAGTAAGGGCAGGTCAGACTAGCTCAGAGCAGGGTGAGTGTGGCCTGTGGGTTCCAGCAAGGTCATGCTTCCCTGGTGACACAGCACACACAGACCACTCAACCCATGGCAGGGATGGAAGATTATATTTCCAAGGTCACCCTAAAGTAAATGCTGGCAGTTCATAAACGACCACCCTGACATCACCCAGTATAGACCCAAACTAGACTGTCCCTGGGGAAGATAAGCCTGGGCCCCTGATTCCATCCTTTAGGACACAGGTAGGTACCAGTGACTC